CTCTTATGAAATAATCNCTTTTACAAAACAAAATACCTCTAATTAAACCTCATATTTTCTTTTTTCACCAAATTAGCCATTTCATTTCAACTTAAGTTAAATCCCTTCAAAAATTATTTAAGTTAATCCGTTTAAATCTCTTTAGTGAACCAAAGCATGTATTGTGATTTTTTTAAGGGGGACGAGAGGGGACAGAAGCCCCCCCACCCCTCGCAGTCCCGAGGGCAAAAATCTCATAACTAGGTTGGAAATCTCAGATATTTCGCCCCTCTCCCCTCGGACGTAAATCTGGCCCCACCACTGCAAACATGCCCTCCAGATATATTACTTGTCCCTCCAGATCTATTACTTGCCCTCCAGATATTATTACTTGTCCCTCCAAATATATTACTTGCCCCTACAGATATATTACTTGCAACTCCAAATATAATACTTGCCCCTCTAGATATATTACTTGTCTCTCAAGATATATTACTTGCCCCTCCAGATATATTACTTGCAACTCCAAATACAATACTTGCCCCTCTAGATATATTACTTGTCCCTCCAGATATATTACTTGTCCCTCCAGATATATTACGTGCCCCTCCAGATATATTACGTGTCCCTCCGGATACATCACTTGCCCCTTGGAACAATCAAGTCTGGCTACGGACCTGTATCGTTTCTACACCTACATGAGTCCATAAGAGGACGACTATATGACGCCTCCACAGAAGTTGACGCATTTTGAATTCAGCTTCGGCAATTTTCCCCAACCGAGTCAATCTAACCCTTATTCCCATCCCCTATTCTTGTGAGGCTGACGCCGGCATTTAAGATGCGAAGGATCTTGATAATTTGACATTTCAAATAAGATTAAATAATTGTGTAGGGACTCAAAGGATTTGCTTAATAATCAAATAGATCATAAAAACTTTGGTAATGGTTTAAAAGTGTAGGATTAGTCGCTGATATTTCAACTTATCTGACATTTCGTCATCAGGCAATATCGTGTGGGATGCGAAATATTGCAATTCTCGACTGAATTCCTTGTTTTTGATCTATTAGTCCATTCAAAGCTTTGGTCAGGCTTGAGCAACAGGGGGTAAGAAGGAGGGAGGGATACAGGTGCGGTCGGGGCAAAGCAATGGATTGGCCCAATGAAAAACTTCTAACAACCGACTAATTTCATTAACTAAAGAACATACAACGGAAGAACTCTTTCACCAACTCCCTTATGAATTCATGTTTTTGATCTAATGGTCCATTCAAAGCTATGGTCAGGCTTGAGTTACTGGGGGGTAAGCAAGAGGGTGGGTGGGGGTGGGGCAAAGCAATGATTACCCCTGTGAAAAACTTCTGACAACCGACTAATTTTATTTCTTCAGCTATAGACCATACAACGGGGAAACTCTTTGACCAACTCCCTTATGAATTCCTGTTTTTGATCTAACGGTCCATTCATAGCTTTGGTCAGGCTTGAGCTACAGGGGGTAAGCAGGAGGGTGGGGCCCAGCCCCCACAGGGGTTGGAGGAGATATTGAAAACATAAGCCAACGTAATGGGAGATAATCGAGAAATAACGTTAAAGATTCAGACAACAGTTAAAATAAGAATTTATTGCAAATGATTTTTTAAAAGAACGGAATTGGAGTAAAAATTGAATTAAAAAATCATTATTTCAGTATTTTAGGAAGTGCCAGACAGGGTATGCTTACTCTTCTAGACACCTGATACCACTCTGTGGTTCCTGCAATTCCTCTAAAACTAAGACTTTTATGACGTCACAAAACGCTTAGTTTTTGTGGAATTGCAGGAACCACAGACACCTGATTGAAAATTGGAATGGAGCAAATGCTATCAGTGTTCCCGATACCAGCTGGGTCAAAAGGTTAATTTGACGATCGTTCAAAAGGGCTGTCGTTAGACCCTAACTGAAGTGGTTATATTAAAAATAAAAGCTAACAAAAAACGGAACGAAAGTTTGGTCTAATTTTAATTAAGATTACGTTTTGAGCTTTATATCGTAAGTACTTGAGTTTCTAATTCGTTTGTCTTTCAAGGTATACTACCTCTTAGGATGACCAAACAATTGAAATTTATTTTCAGAATTTTTAATCGTCGTAGAGCTCTTTCAGAATAAGGAGAAGATCTCTGTCGATTTGTTCCAGAGTTATAATGGACCCAGCTAAGGCAGTATTAGCGGCAGATTGAACCGCCGTGTTGACGTCTGTAAAACCACCGCTGATGCCGAGCAGGACGTTTGCAAGAGATTCGTTCACTATCTTAGTTAACAGAGTAAGAGAGGTTAACATACTAGTGCATCTTTGATCTGAAAAAACATTAAAAACAGGCATGAGGGGCAGCTCCATGGGGGTGGGGGAGAGTGGGGTGTCAGGGACCCAAGAATGCATTTTTTGTGGAAATATTATACGCTAGCGATACGGCCAGTCAGACAGAAAGTCTATAAACACTAAGCAATTATGTTTACAGTCCGTCTACCGAGAGCTTTGATTGGTTGTATTTGACATAGTGCAATCCAATCAAATCGCTGCATTCTAGGAAACAAGAAAGGTTACAATTGCAGTCAAGTTCGTTATAGCTTGACATTGTGAAGATGACCGATACCGCTCAGATGCAGTTGCGATTGCGATCCCAAATGAGACGTACACGTACCTTTTGGAATTGTTTTTCTACAATAAACTCGGGAATCGTGAACACCTCCGGCCGTCCAAATCCAATCCGCCTGTCCAAATAAACTCAGGGGCCGTGTCCCCCAGACCGTAGGGGCGGGTAAGATCGCGAGGGGCCACGCACTGTCATCAAAACTAAAAATATATAAAAAAATATAAAACAAAATCATATTTTTGGGGGGTTTCAGATTGGAGACGCACCCCTCCACAGAACTTAGCTAATAACGGCTATGTAAAGTTTAGAAAATCCTTTAAAATTCTCCTGAAGAGATATATTGAATTCAAATAGAAACCTTAAAGGTGCAGATTCATCATCTGTTTTTATATTTTAACATTCAAACGTAGACAATTCTAGACACACATGGATTTGAAGGCTTAAATTTGGACAGTGAACTGTGAACACTATTACTGATTGGCTTAGCTAAAAGAGTCTCGTTTCTGAGACTAAAGTACGATTGGTAAAAAAAAATAAATGTAGAACCTGTCCCTTTAACTTACTCAGGGTCTTCCCAACCATGGATATCATCAGCTATACATCTCCACGTTCCGTCTGTTTTTATACCATTACTGAAAAATCCCTTGATACCAGCGACAACGCCTTGGTCGCGACAGAAAAACCCTAGAACGGTCGTAGTGTCCGGTAGGGTCACCGTGGACACTTGCGTCCAATCACTACTCGATTCGATCAAAACTCCATCCGCATAAAATTCCATGATGTTATCGCATGTTACTTGGCCCACGATGAAACCATCACCTTAGGAAAAAAAAATGAAATATTACGTTTTACTCATCAACAGCTAAATGGGTTAATGAAGACAGACAACGCCATGCAGTGTGCAATGAGGGAAATTTTGAAGATAACAAAGGAATGAAGATTAACTCTTCTACACCTAATTGGGCTAATGAAGACAGGCAATGCCATGCAGTGTGCAATGAGGGAAAATTTGCCAGGACAGCGGCATTAGCTTACATTTGATTTCCGAAGGGCAATGCTATGCAGTGTGCAATGATGGAAATTTTGAAGATAACAAAGGAATGAAGATTAACTCTTCTACATCGAATTGGGCTAATGAATAGCCTGTTCTTTTCGATTTCCAACTGTCGAGGGATCTTTAAGATACACAGCCTGTAGCACACGGGGCCTCGGTTTATTGTCCCATCAGAATAGCTAGACGCTTTTATCATGTCAGCCCCTACGACAAAGATATCCCCCCTCCAATTGCCCCCTGTAGCTACGGGACAGATAGAACTCTATAAAATGGTCTACAGCAAACACAAATACTTACCAGTGTGAATAAGAAGCGAGAAAATCCAAACAAAACGAAGAGACGAAATCATTTTTCCAGGTAAAACTACAGATTAAAACGCGACCGCAGAATTTATAGGTTTTCACTCCAAGATGGACCAACTTGATTGGTCAGAAAGAAAAAGATGACCATCAAGTGACGGTGATTTTAGATTCGCTAGCAATGACCGGGTTAGATTTAGTTTAGATCAGCTAATCAGATGATTAAAACCTTGACCGTAACTTGCTGTCCAAACGTCGAAGCATACGAATCTACCCGTCTTCCTTGACACAAAAGATGTGCTCAGGTCGCCCGACGATTCGATGCAGGTCATTGAAAAAGAACCCCCATGTCCAAAAAAATCTAACAATATTAATTTGTTTCAAGTGTGGAATTCTAAAACCCTGAACATCACCTGGTCTCAAACTTGCTGTCCAAACATCGAAGCACACGAAGCTGCGCTCAGGTCGCCCGGCGTTTCAAAGCATCGGATCAGGGCCCATTATTGCGCAATGACCAGGTTAGATTTTAAGAGACGGATTCACCATTTTGGGGGCTTGATTTGTGTCTTGAATATATGTAAATAGCCTTCAGAAATACTAGAAATAGCATAATTCAATTCCTTCAAAAATATCTCAAACTAGAAATTTCTTTTACTGTTTCCGTATATAACAGAGTATCTTAAATTGATGAGTTGTCATTTTAACATTCAAACGTGGATAATTCTGGACACACATGGATTTGAAGGCTCAAATTTCGACAGTGAGCTGTGAACACTATTACTGATTAACTTAGCTTAGAAAAATCCATTTCTGAGACTAAAGTACGATTGGTTAAACGAACATGACCCTTTAATATTAGTTTTTACGATATTAATCGAATTAGCAAATATGTGTAGATGTTACGTTTAGTAATTTTCAACATGCTACAAAAAGAATCAGTGAAGTAACCCATAGAAAAACATGAAACGAAATATTTAGATCTGTATTTTATCAGATGGTGTTTCACCTTCTCAACTTGAAATAAACCGAGATCAAACAAAACGATAGGCAATATAAAGCGGTATAAATATGGTTTAAATTTTATTTGTGGCCAAACGACTCAAGATGTTTTCGATGTTAAAATCTATCCTTTTGGTAACCTTGTTATGTTCAGGTAAGGAAAAACTATTGTTTAACGGGGAAAAGAAATGACATGATTGGAGTTTTACGTCCTACTCTTCCGCACCTTATTGGCCTTAGACGTAAAACATCATGCAGTGTACAATGAAGGAAATTTTGCTAGGACAGCAGCATTAGCCAGCTCTAGCATTTAACCTTTCTTTTATCACAGAAGTTTTTTAATGTTGAAGTCTTTCTGTCGAGGCCTCTGATTGGCTGTATTCGCTAGCGTACAATCCAATCAAATCGCTGCTTTTACAAACTTCCGTAATACAAAAAAGGTGGCTATTGTAGTCAAGGTATAAGACACAGTTCGTAATAGCTTGACATAGTGAAGATGCAAACTTCAGTGATACAAGAAAGGTGACTATTGAAGTCAAGGTATAAGACGCAGTTACTAATAGCTTGATTTTTTGAAGATGACGACCAAGAAACTCACAAATGATTTTATTTCTTCTTCAGTGGAATGTCAAGTGAAGATAAAGGGAAGAGTAACATGTGACAACGTCATGGAATTTTACACTGATGGAGTTTTACGTGCGGTTAGTAACGATTGGACGCAATCGTCTGCGATTGACGTTGCCAAGACGACCAACGTGTACGCCTTCAAGTGCACTGACCAAGGTGTGGCCGCGGGAATCAAGGGTGTTTTTTTGAACGGTGTCAAAACGGACGCTTCATGGAAATGCCTTAACACATTTCAAGAGGGTTGGAATATGCCTGGGTGAGTTGAACTGAATATCGTCATGCAGTGTGCCATGGGGAAAACTTTGCCAGGACAGCTTCAGCATTTTGTCTTTTAGATTTTCGAATGATCTTTATAACGTTGTTAATAAGAATACCGATCAGAAGTTTCGAACGCAACTCACAATTGCATGAGAGTTGCGTTCGTTACTCATGACCACTTTCAATATTCGCAACCAAACACAACTGGTAATCGCTATGGTGTGAGGGGACCTTCGGTTGCATGAGGGTTGCGTTCGTTACTAATGACCACTTCCATTACTCACAACTGATAAAAAGCCTTCATTTAAAGGCCCACTCACACTGTAGTGATTACTAGTTGTGTATAGTTGCTGATATTGAAAGTGGCCATGAGTTCCGAACGCAACTCAAAATTCAGTTTCGTTCGAAACTTAGGACACCTCGTCTTATTCGCAACCATAGGCAACTAGTGATCGCTATGGTGTGATGGCATAAGGTATTTGGAAATTTCATCCGTCACAACTTAGTGATTACTAGTTGTGTATGGTTGCGAAGTGGTCATAAGTTCCGAACGCAACTCATAACGTTCGAAACTTATGACCGCTCTTCTTCTTCGCATCTTTAAAACGTACAAAGGGTATTTGGTAATTTCATTTTAGATTTGTTATAACTCGGTAATAAATATACGTTTTGTTTTACTGCAGATTTGACGACAGTAGCTGGCCAGCGGCAACATTACCCGACCCTACCATTTGGGGAAATAGACCAGCTGATTTGGGCAGCGTAGCCCAGTGGATATGGACAGCTGGTGGGATATCAGACAGTGTTGTGTATTGTCGTAAAGCAGTTAGCGAATTTGGTATGTATTAATATGCAGTTATAGAACACAGTGTTTGACGACGTCACTAATAGCAACGTATGCTTCATCATATAAGGACTTCGCGATTAGTGATGTCATCAAATGCTGAGTTTTAGTAGAATTGCAGGAACCACAGACGTCTGATTGAAAATTGGAATGATGTAAATTGATACTATTAGTGTCCCTGATACACATAAAAAATTTAGAAAACCTCTTTACAATCTCTTTAACAAGAACCACAGACATCTGATTGAAAATTAGAATGATGTAAATTGATACTATCAGTGTCCCTGATACACATAAAAAATTTAGAAAACCTCTTTACAATCTCTTTAACAAGAACCACAGACGTCTGATTGAAAATTGGAATGATGTAAATTGATACTATCAGTGTCCCTGATACACACAAAAAATTTAGAAAACCTCTTTACAATCTCTTTAACAAGAACCACAGACGTCTGATTGAAAATTAGAATGATGTAAATTGATGCTATCAGTGTCTCTGATACACATACATTTTAGAAAAAAAACTTCTTTACAATATCTTTAATTCTAACCATTTTTTGTAGTTCCAAACAGCCTGGAAGCCTGCTCTGCTGAACTTATGACATCACTAGCTTCTCTGCCAGAAAACTTGACTGGAATCAACTCCGAAATTATAGCTAATATCACCAGTCAATTGAGCCAGTTAGCAGTCTCCTTCCCTGGCATCTCAACCTTCTTCCAAACCAGTCTCAACACTTCTCTATCACCCATCAACCTTAAAATTGCAGCTGCCAAATTCTTGCTGAATGATGATAAGAGATAAATTATCAGCTGCTAGAGGCTTACTGAATGATGATGAATGAATAAATAAATAAATTAGCAGCTGCAAGACACTTGTTGAATGATGAATAAAATAACAGCTGCAAAAACACTTGACTGAATGATGATAAACAAAATTAGCAGCTGCAAGACACTTATTGAATGATGAATAAATTAACAGCTGCAAAAACACTTGACTGAATGATGATAAACAAAATTAGCAGCTGCAAGGCACTTATTGAACGATGGTGACAAGAAATGAAATAACAGCTGCAAAAACACTTGACTGAATGATGATAAACAAAATTAGCAGCTGCAAGGCACTTATTGAATGGTGACAAGAAATAAAATAGCAGCTGCAAAATTCTTACTGAATGATGATAAAGAGATAAGAATAGCAGCTGCTAGGGACGTACTGAATGATGATTACAAATAAATAAATTAACAGCTGCAAAAAAATTACTGAGATTATTTTAAGGAAATAAAATGCATCATGTGGGCTAATGAAGACGGGAGATAACTGAAATTGAGTTCTATCAGCTGGTTAAATAAACGTTTGGACGAAACGATATGGGAATGTCCGGAATTTGATAAAAGATCCATTTCTGATTCCGATTTTGGTTTTCAACCACCGTAAATTATTCCACAAACCATTGAAGCTAGGCCCGTAGCCAGCCTTGATTGTTCGGGGGGGTAATATATCCTGAGGGGGAATGCTATAAAGTAGTTGGTTACAGTAATGGAATTGGTCTGTTGTCAGAATATTTCGGAAGGGGGGGGGGGGGGTTGTTTAAGCCCCTTACACACTAACGAATTAAGGGACAAGTGATATATCTGGAGGGGGAAGTAATATATCTGGAGAGACGAGTAATATATCTGGAGGGACAAGTAATATATCTGGAGGGACAAGTAATACATCTGGAGGGGCGAGTAATATATCTGGAGGGACAAGAAATATATCTGGAGGGCGATGGTGTATGGTATTTGGTTACAGTGATGGAATTAGGTCGGTTGTCGGAATTTTTAAGGGGGAGCAATCCATTCCCCCACCCCCAAATAGCTACCGACCCTTTACACTTGATGATAACGAATTAAAAACGAAAAAAACACATCACTAGAACTTCATTTAACAGGCAAAGAAGGATCTCCGTATAAAACATATCTAAATATCTGTCCTATAGTAGTGTTTAACGTTTTCAGTTCTTCAAAACCCTTCGGAACTGGATTTCCATTCGTCCAAATATGTACCGCATAATTATTCTGCCACGGGTAGTCATTTTTCTTGAAAAGTAGATCCGCTTCGAACCAATTTGGACGATAGAATTTGTCCGATTCCATATGAATTCGGCTCGGATTTTTATGCCACATATCTCTCGGGACATGTAAGGAATTTTTATAAAATTGTTTGTTGTCGTATTTTGCATACGCATCGTACCACTCTTTCACAAACGGCGAATGTCTCTGGGCGAGAATAATGGCGTTTCCCATCCCCGTGCCGTTTTCTATCAATCCCATTGTAATGTCGTGGTTTCGGATTGGGTCCAAACTGTTTATAACTATCATATCCAAATCTAAATATATTCCACCATTGACTGAAAAAAAAAAAAGAAAATAGAAAATTGAAAACTAAACTTAAAGATGGGTTTCCTTATATTTTAGTGTCAAATTAAGCAAACTATTTGATTAATTGGTGTTTCTAATGAATTATCATGTATTCTTAATCATATCATTATGTTCTTATTGCATATAATTAAAGATGGGTTTCCTTATTTTTTAGTGTCAAATTAAGCGAACTATTTGATTAATTGGTGTTTCTAATGAATTATCTTGTATTCTTAATCATATCATTATGTTCTTATTGCATATAATTAAAGATGGGTTTCCTTATTTTTTAGTGTCAAATTAGGCGAACTATTTTCAGAGATTGTAAAGAGGTTTTCTAAATTTTTTATGTGTATCAGGGACACTGATAGCATCAATTTACACCATTCCAATTTTTAATCAGACGTCTGTGGTTTCTGCAATTCCACTAAACGTTTGATGTCACTAATCTTGAAAGACCTTATGTAATAAAGCATATTTCGCGATTAGTGACGTCATCAAACACTTAGTTTCAGTGGAATTGCAGGAACCACAGACATTGTACCGAGATACAAACAACTGCGATTGGCATCATGAAACACTTTGACGAGTCGTCATTTTAACATTCAAACGCGGATAATTTTGGACACACGTGGATTTGAAGGCTCAAATTTCAATGGTTAGCTGTGAACACTATTGCTGATTAGCTTAGCTACAAAAATAACCGTTTCTGAGACTAAAGTATGATTGATCAAAAATTGTGCATCTGTCCCTTTAACAGTGAAATTTTTTGTTACGATATACTTACGCATTAACATCTGTAGTCTCACCAAATCAGACAGATGATGGTTCCAGGTCACCTTCTTGTTGGCAATAGTTGGAGGCAGTTCTCTGTACACGAAACGCAACCCTCGAATATCCTTCATCGCCCTTTTCCACCAGTACCCCACGGGATGGGCATCCCCTACTACATACAACCCCCAGGGCTTAATTATACGTTTAGCACTCATCATACTGACGTAGTGCCAAAACTGAAAAGTGTACGGGCCAAATATGACGTAATAGACAATTTTGGGTACCAAGTAACCGTCTTTGGGTCGTAGACAGGATTTTCCCTCCTCCAGTCCGATTTTGTTGAAGAATAACCGACAAACTACGTCGCTGTCTTCGGCTACGTCGTCACAAAATAACGTTCGATTCATGGAATCGACGGTTGCGTCTGGTATTTTTATCAGTTCCAAATCATTGCAGGTTTCATGAGAGACTGGTGCCTTGGACAAAGCCTCCCTTTGTATCAGGGCCTCGACCATTTTCTGCCCGTTCTTGAAAAAGGCATTCGACTGTAAGAATTTAGTTTGTTCGTGCACCGTCTCCGAATTGTACATGGACAAAAATATAACCACAAACGGCAAGGTCAGAATTATATAACATAGCAATCCGTTCCATAATCGTCTATTTCCACGTTTAAAAATCATTCTGTATAGATAAAATAGTCCTCTAGCGACCTGAAAATAGAAGTGACATGATAAATATACCTTGACTGCAATAGTCACCTTTCTTGTATCACATCTTCACACTGTCAACCTATTACCAACTTTGTCTTATACCTTGACTGCAATAGTCACCTTTCTTGTATCTTCACAATGTCAATCTATTGTCTTATACCTTGACTACAATAGTCACCTTTCTTGTATCACATCTTCACAATGTCAAGCTATTACAAACTTCATCTTATACCTTGACTACAATAGTCACCTTTCTTGTATCACATCTTCACAATGTCAAGCTATTACGAATTGCGTCTTGAATACCTTGACTGCAATAATCATTTTTCTTGCATCTTCACAATGTCAAGCGATTACAAACTTCATCTTCACAATGTCAAGCTATTACAAACTTCATCTTCACAATGTCAAGCGATTACAAACTTCATCTTCACAATGTCAAGCGATTACAAACTTCATCTTCACAATGTCAAGCGATTACAAACTTCATCTTCACAATGTCAAGCGATTACAAACTTCATCTTCACAATGTCAAGATATTACAAACTTCATCTTCACAATGTCAAGCTATTACCAACTTAGGACTAATACCTTGACTTCAATAGTCACCTTTCTTGTATCATGGAAGTTTGAAAATGCAGGGATTTGATTGGATTGTACGCTAGCGGATACAGCAAAGCGACTTTTCATTAGCAGTTGTAGCGATAATGACGTCATCAAACGCTTAGTTTTAGTGGAATTGCAGAAACCACAGACGTCTGATTGTAAATTGATGCTATCAGTGTCCCTGATACACATACAAATTTTAAGAAAAACTCTATACAATCCCTTTGAAAATACGTTGAAGTACGCTATTATACGTCGAAGTACGACGACGTCTTCGAAAAATTTTGTGCGCATGTTTTTTAAGCTGGAATTACTAGACTAACTATGTAAAAAGATTAAAATATTTACCTTTGTTTGTGGTATCCCTTTTCGTAAGCTATAACTCGTTCTATACGTCCATCCTTCAAATATTACTCGCAGTTGATCGCACCGCAAAAACGTTAACTAAAACTCAAAAACGTCCGAACACTGTCGCGAGTATCTCAAAATAGATTGTAAAATGAAAACACGCTTGTTAACAACTTTATTACCGTCGGTACAACAAAAGAATTACTAACTTTGCTAATAAACCGTTACGTTTCGAAAAGTTGACGTGGTCTTTTTACTTCAATGATTATTTCAACTCGCCCGTAGCAAATCTGATTAATAATAAAAATTCTTATCCGTGATAATGATTGGCGGAGCTTGTGGGTGGTACAGGGCGGAGGAGGATTTGCCCCTAAAAAAATTTTTTACACCCCTACTTTATTTTTAACAAATTTAAAAATATGATTTTTATACGTTTTTGCTCCAAAATATGTCAGAATGTGCCAAATCCATTAATTTTCGGAAATATTCTCGGGAGACCCCGCTCAAACGCTTCGCGGAGATTTGCGGCTATGACACCTCCACAGAGTTACCGAGTTTTGAATTCAGTTTCGATAGTTGTCCCCCAAATGAGTCAGTCTACCCTCTATTTGTACCCCCAGTCTCGGGAGGCTCCATGAGAGGCTTGCGACTATGACGCCTCCACAGAGTTCCGGCATTTTCATTTCATCCTCGACTGTTGTCCCCCCTATTTGTACCCCCAGTCTCGGGAGGCTTCACGAAAGGCTTGCGACTATGACGCCTCCACAGAGTTCCGGCACTTTCATTTCATCCTCGACAGTTTCCCCCCCTATTTGTACCTCCAGTCTTGGGAGAGGCTTGCGACTATGACGCCTCCACAGAGTTACCGTATTTTCATTTCATCCTCGACAGTTTCCCCCCCTATTTGTACCTCCAGTCTTGGGAAAGGCTTGCGACTATGACGCCTCCACAGAGTTACCGTATTTTCATTTCATCCTCGACAGTTGTTCCCCCTATTTGTACCTCCAGTCTTGGGATAGGATTGCGACTATGACGCCTCCACAGAGTTACGGCATTTTCATTTCATCCTCGACAGTTTCCCCCCCTATTTGTACCTCCAGTCTTGGGAGAGGCTTGCGACTATGACGCCTCCACAGAGTTACCGTATTTTCATTTCATCCTCGACAGTTTCCCCCCCTATTTGTACCTCCAGTCTTGGGAGAGGCTTGCAACTATGAAGCCTCCACAGAGTTACGGCATTTTCATTTCATCCTCGACAGTTGTCCCCCCTATTTGTACCTCCAGTCTTGGGAGAGGCTAGCGACTATGAAGCCTCCACAGAGTTACCGTATTTTCATTTCGTCCTCGACTGTTGTCCCCCCTATTTGTACCTCGGGTCTTGAGAGAGGCTTGCGACTATGACGCCTCCACAGAGTTACGGTATTTTCATTTCATCCTCGACAGTTGTCCCCCCTATTTGTACCTCCAGTCTTGGGATAGGATTGCGACTATGACGCCTCCACAGAGTTACGGCATTTTCATTTCATCCTCGACAGTTGTCCCCCCCCCTATTTGTACCTCCAGTCTTGAGAGAGGCTTGCGACTATGAAGCCTCCACAGAGTTACGGCATTTTCATTTCATCCTCGACAGTTTCCCCCCCTATTTGTACCTCCAGTCTTGAGAGAGGCTTGCGACTATGAAGCCTCCACAGAGTTACCGTATTTTCATTTCGTCCTCGACTGTTGTCCCCCCTATTTGTACCTCGGGTCTTGAGAGAGGCTTGCGACTATGAAGCCTCCACAGAGTTACGGCATTTTCATTTCATCCTCGACAGTTGTCCCCCCTATTTGTACCTCCAGTCTTGGGAGAGGCTTGCAACTATGACGCCTCCACAGAGTTACGGCTGGGAGAGGCTTGCAAATATAACATCTCCACACAGTTACATTTTGAATTCAGCCTCGGCAGTCTACGCCTTATATGTGCCCCAGATTCCGGGAGCTGGCTCCGCCATTTAGTTATAATCATACTTGATGGAAAGGTAACTCATGCAGAACATACAATAATATCGTATATGCCCCGTAGCTATTATTAAATTCATTCTTTCGTTTGTTATCTGTATACAATATGCACTACTTAAAGCCTGCGAGGCTCGTTTCTATATAGAATTGAACATATATCTGATATACCAACAATTTCTATCCCCAGGACTATGTTTCTAGTTTGATATGGCTTAAAGGGACAGATGCCCCATTTTCAGGATTGATTTGAGTCTTGAATATATGTAAATAATCTTCAGAAATACTAGAAATGTATGAAAGTTGTATAATTCTTTCAAAAATACAACGATACACTATACATGGTCCTTGGCTTGGTTGATTTGAGTCTTGAATATATGTAAATAGTCTTCAGAAATACTAGAAATGTATGAAACTCGCATAATTCCTTTAAAAATATCTCAAACTAGGAATTTTACTCACTATTTCTATAGATGTATTTTCTATATATGACAGTGTCTCAAGAAAAGACGAGTCGTCATTTTAACATTCAAACGTAGATAATTCTGAACACAAATGGATTTGAAGGTTCAAATTTTGACAGTGATCTGTGAACACTATTACTGATTGGCTCTGCTAAAATATTCCCGTTTCTGAGACTAAAGTATGATTGATCAAACGCGTCTATCCCTTTAAGATATACTTCAAACTAGAAATTTCACTTTCTATTTCTCTATTAACTGATTTTCCACAAGAGAAATTTCTAGTTTGGGGTCTTTTAAAGGGATTATGCCATTTTTGTCCAGTTCTTCTGAAGACCATTTACATATATATTCAAGACCCAAATCAACCCCGGAAAATTACAGACCAAGGTTTTTAAAATTTTTCTAAATTTTTTATGTGTATTGGGGACACTGATAGCATCAATTAACATCATTCTAATTTTCAATGAGACATCTGTGATTCCTGCAATTCCACTAAAACTAAGTGTTTGATGACGTCACTAATTGCAAAATATACTTTATCACATAAGGCCCTTCGCGATTAGTGACGTCATAAAACACTTAATTTTAATGGAATTGCAGGAATCACAGACGTCTGATTGATAATTAGAATGGTGTAAATTGATGCTATCAGTGTCCCTGATACACATAAAAAATATAGAAAACCTCTTTACAATCTCTTTAACAAGAACCACAGACGTCTGATTGAAAATTAGAATGGTGTAAATTGATGCTATCAGTGTCCCTGATACACATAAAAAATATAGAAAACCTCTTTACAATCTCTTTAACAAGAACCACAGACGTCTGATTGAAAATTAGAATGATGTAAATTGATGCTATCAGTGTCCCTGATACACATACAAAATTAGAAAACCTTTTTACAATCACTTTAATTCAAAGAAAATGGCGTAAAAACGATCCTGATGAGAGATGTCTAAAACTGATCCAACGAAATATCGGGGTAAAAATGAAACGAATTTCTGCTTTAAAAAAACACAGATTTTTAATCAAGTCGTATCTGGATTCCGTAAGATAACTTTTGATTCAATTCTAGCTATTAGACGCCTTGCATAAAATTCCTTATATTCCACTGGAAGTTCATCTAATGTTTTTAACGCTCTGTCCAGTGGCACGTTGAGCTGGTAATAAATCCCTATTTCCATACGTATCCTTAGAATCGTATAACTTATCACCTAAATGTTTCCAAAACACATTAACTGCCACACCAAAGTCTAATGAAATCACGTTATGAAACCACAGAGCTGTAATACCAAAACAAAAATTTGCAATGAAATGAAATGATAATGGTGTTTTACGCAGGCCTGTAGCCAGACTTGATTGTTCGTGATATATCTGGAGGGACAGGTAATATATATGGAGAGACAAGTTATATATCCGGAGGGGCGAGTAATATATCTGGAGGGACAGGTAATATATCTGGAGAGACAAGTAATATATCTGGAGGGACAAGTAATAAATCTGGAGGGACAAGTAATATATCCGAATAGGAGTAAGAGGAGGGGCAATTAATATATCTGGAGGGACAAGTAATATATCTGGAGGGGTAAGTAATATATCTGGAGGGACAAGTAATATATCCAGAGGGGAAAGTGATATATCTGGAGGGGCAAGTAATATATCTGGAGGGGCAAGTAATATATCTAGAGGGACAAGTAATATATCCGGAAGGCAAGTAATACATCTAGAGGGGCGAGTAATATATCTGGAGGGACAAGTAATATATCCGGAGGGGCAAGTTATATATCCGGAGGGACAAGTAATATATCTGGAGGGGCAAGTTATATATCCGGAGGGGCGAGTAATATATCCGGAGGGGCGAGTAATATATCCGGAGGGGCGAGTAATATATCTGGAGGGACAAGTAATATATCTGGAGGGACAAGTAATATATCCGGAGGGGCAAGTAATATATCTGGAGGGGCAAGTAATATATCTGGAGGGACAAGTAATATATCCGGAGGGGCAAGTAATATATCGGAGGGGCAATTAATATATCTGGAGGGGCAAGTAATATATCTGGAGGGGCAAGTTATATATCCGAAGGGGCGAGTAATATATCCGGAGGGGCGAGTAATATATCCGGAAGGGCAAGTAATATATCAGGAGGGGCAAATATATATCAGGAGGGGAATTTCTTATATCTGGAGGGGCAAGTAATATATCCGGAGGGGCAAGTAATATATCTGGAGTGACAAGTAATGTATTTGGAGGGCAAGTAATATATCTGGAGGGCAAGTAATATATCTGGAGGGGCAAGTAATATATCTGGAGGGGCAAGTAATATATCTGGAGGGGCAAGTAATATATCTAGAGGGGCGAGTAATATATCTGGAGGGACAAGTTTTATATCCAAAGGGGTGAGTAATAAATCTGGAGGGGCAAGTAATATATCTGGAGGGGCAAGTAATATATCCGGAGAGACAAGTAATATATCCGGAGAGACAAGTAATATATCTAGAGGGACAAGTAATATATCTGGAAGGCAAGTAATACATTTAGAGGCACAAGTAATATATCTGGAGGGACAAGTTATATATCTGAAGGGGCGAGTAATATATCTGGAGGGGCAAGTAATATATCCGGAGGGGCAAGTACTATATCTGGAGGGGCAAGTAATATATCTGGGGGGGCAAGTAATATATCTGGAGGGGCAAGTAATATATCTGGAGGGGCAAGTAATATATCCGGAGGGGCAAGTAATATACGCCCATTGGCAGCTTTGATTTTAAGTAAAAATATTTGACAGTTCAGTAACAATTACCAGTATGAAATATTCAACCATCAGTCATACACTTCTTTTAAACTTTTTGGGTGATACTGAATAATATTACCAAGTTTTGTCAAAATCTGTCAAGGATTGTTCCTTGTGTTTAGAAGCTTAAAATCAAACGAATTTTCAAGAACAAGGGCAATAACTCATACTGAATGTTATTGGATTTTTCTGATATGGTTCATCTTTGGGTGATTACGAACACTCACACCAAGATCTGTCCAAAAAAAAGTTAAAACTTGAACACCTTTTCAAGAACAAGGGCAATAACTTATATTAAAGATATTTCAATTTTTCTGATTTTCAATATGGTTCATCTTTGGGTGATAATGAACTCACTAAGTTAAATAAATTTTGTCAAAAACCTGTCAAATACCTTGACATTATTAAACACTTTTCTTAATTTTTCAGAAGCACAATCATTGCTTGGTTGATAAATGACAAGTTAACATCTGCTTTCAAGAAACGCCGTATGTCGGTATCCAGTGAACTTTGTCGAGTGATCTGAGTCAACCAATTAGATGGGATGTTGATATCATGTGATGTTGAAAATGGCTGACTCTGTCATTTTGTACCGATCACATGATCGCCGAAAAATTTTGCTAAAGTGCCCCGTCGTGATTCACTGATATATCGTGCCAGCACTAGTTTATACGCCCCTTTGCCTTAAGCTGCGAGCACACGAACGGTCTTGATCAGAGATTTTTGTTGCCTACTAGAGTCTTGTCATGAGTTTCATCGACCGACTGCATAAAACAACTCATAAAAATACACATTGTATCGCCAAGTATTGATACACAACATCGCGATACAATACATGTATCATGGCACGTCTCATCGCTATATATCGTACCAGCACTACATTTATATCTATGTGTTCAAGCGGAAAAAATATATCATATCATACTTACACTCTCAAAAATTTGCGACCGAGCCCTCGTTAACACCAACGCAATACATCGATTCATTGATATACATCGTGTTAGCACTAGTTTAGATGCCCCTTTGCCTTATGCTGCGAGCACACAAACGGTCTTGATCAGAGATTTTTGTCGCCGTCTAGAGTCTTTATTGAGATATGTCTCATTGTTATATATCGTGCCAGCACTAGATTTATATCTATGTGTTCGAGCGAAAAAAATATGCTCGTTTTGTCATATCATACTTACGCTCTCAAAAATTTGCGACTGAGCCCTCGTTAACACCAAGACTTACCAGGAATAAAAAGAATATCACCAGGTTCTAGATTACACTCGTATCTCGTTGCTTTCAAAAACTCAGGATATTTTTCTACATCAGGATTGTCTATATCCAAAACTTCAGACTTATCCCCTGTTGAAAAGAAATGAAATGAATGGAGTTTTACTTCCTACTTTTCTGCACCGTGTGGGCTAATGAAGACCATGCTGGGTCAAATTAGGGAAATTTTGCAAGGACAGTTGCATTAGCTTGCTCTTTTTGATTTCCAACTGTCGAGAAATCTTTAACATGTACAGCCTGTAGCACACGGGGCCTCCGTTTATTGTCCCATCCCAACCACTAGACACTTTTTCTATGTCAATCTCTCTTACCTACATCACTGACAGGGGGAAACTGGGTTGAAAAATCTGAAGGTATTATCTCAACCTAAGCTAGGATTGAACCCTGAACCTTCAGGTTAGCAAGCAAGCCTCTAACATCACTGACAGGGGGAAATAGCGTTGAAAAATCTGAAGGTATTATCTTGACCTATGCTAGGATTGAACCCTGGACCTTCAGGTTGTAGGGGGTGCTACAAAGCCTGGTCTGCCTCTTTACTGTATTTTTAAGCAGAGATTTGTCCAGATTTACTTGAGGTTAAAAAGAGGTGTGTACTATATTCAGAATTATGCAGAGATTTTTCCAAATTTACTCGAGGTATGCAATAATATGGCTTTTTATTCCTAAAACTCAATTTTAAAAGGTTTAATTTGAAAAAAAAAAAAATACCAACAGCCAGAAAAATAGAGGAATTCCTCTAAAAAGATCCCTGAGTATATGATGTAATTTATAATTACTATACATACCATTTAGATATAGGTACTGTACATCACTAGGGCTGAATAAAACCACTCTTTTAGTACCGGTTACTTGTATCAAAATATTATCCATTATCTACCAAAAAAAAAATTTGAAACATACTCAGTTCTTTAAAGTTAAAATTGAAACGAGAAATCTAAAATAGGATTTTGCGTTTAGTGAACCTTCTTACAATCACAATTCCCTCTAATGTGCACACTCCAAATTTCAACAATATCATGAATTCTAGAGTTATTTCGAACTCGTCTTTCAATAATTGAACTTTCAACGTGGCCGCTCTGTCAACTTTCAGGCAGTAGATAGTAGACTATAAATAGTATGACCTACTTATTTTTGATTGGCTGTTTTCTAGGACGTCTCTATTGTTAGTATGTTTTTTAGCGTTATATTAAAATTTTTTGTATTTATGCGCCAATTAAGTGCTTTAAGATGTTGTTATATTAAATAAATATTCAAACACGTATACGTTTAAATCATAAAGAATGACCTGAACATTGTGGCCACGTCAATCAAACTCATTGATAAAAGTAGTCTGTTAAGGGGCGGAGCTTATATTTACATTCCGTTTACACAGATATAAACCGAATTCATGTGACCACTGTTATCCAATCAAATTGCGTGAAACCGTGTAAACGGAATCGTGATTTAATTAAACATTGATAAACTGAAAAAATGTTCAGGTCATTACTTAATTAGATGAAAAACCGAGTTACGTCATAATGGGTCCATAGCTGCATTGATTTCGAAGCCACCCTCAACACACTTGAGAAAAATTGTGATGCGTCAAAGAGTTCGGGTATAACTATATCTTTGGCCAGGTTGGGAAAATCATTGCGAATGTCTGCTATATCTTTCCGTGGATCACCAGTACCCAACGCACGTAGATAATATTTTTCATTCTGAAAGCAAGAGAAAGACAGTGTCAGTTTTTTAACCAGTATTTATGGGGTAATCCATTCCAGGCCTATGAAACAAGCATATTTTGCAATAAGTGACTTTATCAAACACTTATTTTCTGTTGAATTGCAGGAACCACAGACGTCTGATTGAAAATTAGAATGGTATAAATTGATGTTATCAGTGTCCCTGATACACATAAAAAATTGAGAAAACCTCTTTACAATCTCTTTAACAAGAACCACAGACGTCTGATTGAAAATTAGAATGGTATAAATTGATGTTATCAGTGTCTCTGATACACATAAAAAATTTAGAAAACTTCTTTACAATCTCTTTAACAAGAACCACAGACGTCTGATTGAAAATTAGAATGGTGTAAATTGATGCTATCAGTGTCCCTGATACACATAAAAAATTGAGAAAACTTCTTTATAATCTCTTTAACAAGAACCACAGACATCTGATTGAAAATTAGAATGATGTAAATTGATGCTATCAGTGTTTCTGATACACATACAAAATTGAGAAAACTTCTTTATAATCCCTTTAAGCCAATTAAAATAGCAATACCATGGAGTAGGCAATAAGGAAAAGTAGCCGTCATACCTCATCAATAAAATATTCTGTATGTTTTTCTTCACTTGCTCTCCTCAGCAGCTCATTAAATGGTAATGATCTGGAAAATAATAAATTAATCATTCTGGTGCCATGACCAGTGCCTTCGAAAGTCAAATATTCCAATTGATTTCATCTTGACACAATTTCACAAATATCTGAAGGTGAAGACTATCATATCAATTGGAATGGAGTTTTACATCCTACTTTTCTGCACCATGTGGGCTAATGAAGACAGACGACTCTATGCAGTGTACAATGAGGGAAATTTTACCAGGACAGCGGCATTAGCCTACTCTTTTTCGATTTCCAACTGTCGAGGGATCTTTAACATGTACAGCCTGTAGCACACGGGGCCTCGGTTTATTGTCCCATCTGAACGACTAGACGCTTTTTGATTTCCAACTGTCGAGGGATCTTAAACGTGCACAGTCTGTATCACAAGAGACCTCGCTTTATTGTCCCATCCGAACGACTAGACTTTTTTTTGTTTTCCAACTGTCGAGGGATCTTTAACGTGCAACGCCTGTATGACAAGAGACCGTAGTTTATCTGAATTGAAAAGGAATGGAGTTTTACATCCTATTGTTCTACACCTGTATGGGCTAATGAAGATTACCTGTACAAAAAATTCTTATGGATAAAATCCATCTGATGGGTTTTAGAAACATGAATTTTAACTTCCACGGAGCCGCCATTTTCAGCGAGATACTCTTTCGTCCATTTTTCTTTACAATCCCCGATATCAACACCTCTTAGTATCACTGGCTTTCTCTGAAAAAAAAAACAACAAAACAAAAAAACATCACTACAGGTTTTCCATTTGTTTAACCAATCATACTTTGGTCTTAGAAACAGGAATTATTTAGCGAAGTCAATCAGTAATAGTGTTCACAGCTCCCTGTCGAAATTTGAGCCTTCAAATTCATGTGTTTCTAGAATTATCCACGTTTTAGGAAAGTTAAAAAGACGACTCTGCCAAGAAAAGACAAGACATCTAAAGAAATAAAGTTAAATTCCAAGTTTGAGATATTTTTAAAGAAATTTTGCGATTTTTGTACATTTCTAGTACTTCTGAAGACTATTTACATCTTTAAGACTCAAATCAACCAAGCCAAGGACCATGTATAGTGTATCGTTGTATTTTTGAAGGAATTATGTGATTTTTGTACATTTCTAGTACTTCTGAAGACTATTCACATATATTCAACACTCAAATCAACCCTAGAAAATGGCGAGATAGAAAATTCTAAGGCTATAAGCCTTAAATTTCAGATAGTAAAGACACCTTTGCAAGTTTTACTGTAAATTCTAAATGATGTTCTACAGCCATCACCAAATGGAGGTTTGAAATATCGGCAAACAATTTGGTCACAAAATGTCAAAAATAAGCTAGGCCATTTTTTTTACGTCGATTCGGTTCATAAAATTCTTTAAAACAATGAAAATTCGAAGTCTACCTGTGGATAAATTTCTGTTTGAAATATTTCCTTTGATAAACCTGTGATAATTTTAACATTTCTTGAATTTTCCATTTTCGTTGTCAAAGGGGGATAATTTGTCGTCTGCAATCTTTTTCTAAAGAGATTATTTTAGTCGACTTGCAGTTCGTTCTATCGAAAGACGTTACTTTGGCCACAATTTTTATAGGCCTTAAACCATTTCTTACGATTTTCACAAATTTTCGTGTTTAAATTTCTGATTTCTAAGCTTTTTGATAATCAAAAAAACCGCCAGAGAATTTGAATTTCGTGTAAAATAGTCCTAGCCTAAAAAAATTTGAAACTCTGATCTAGTAAAGTGATTGAAACGAAGGAGAGCACTATCTCTCACCAAAACAGAAGTAAAATTAGTAAAAACTCTCAAAATGATACAATATCGATGTGTTTTCAATGAAGCTTGTGTTCTTTTAAGACAGTCGAATATTTTGACGAGAGGCCTGAGATCGAGGGAGGTTTTATGCTCTCAATGGGTGCAGGCAAATCAATATGGCTGCTTTCGTGAAAAATCTTTGAATCCGTCCACGACCCCACTGTGGTCGAATACTTCATCTGTTTCAACATTAATCGGAAATGGAAACCTTAACCTTGAAACAGCTAGTCGTCAAACAAGTCGTCCACAAAACATTTTTCAGTGTGCTTTCACAGGCTTGTACATCAACAAAAATAGGCCTAAATCGAATGTTCCATTTCCCTCCACAAACAAAAGACACTACTCTATGTCGTTCACAGACAGACACAATCTATGTTCCTTTGGATTAATGAAATTCACTAATACGCCTGCAGCACCACCAATGCCATTTAGACAGAATATTTATAAGAAGTTCATTAATCAGATTGTAGCCTTAGTAATTCGAATGGAGCATGATCCAAACTTCAGAATTCTGTCTCTTCTAGAAGGAGCAAAACTGGTAAAATGATTTTTTTTTTGTCAACTGTCCAATCTCATTATTATCATTTGAGTAAATGGCCAAGGGTCTTATGTGATAAAGCATATTTTGCGATAGTGACTTCATCAAACACTTAGTTTTACTGGAATTGCAGGAAATACAGACGTGTGATTGAAAATTAGAATGATGCAATTTGATGCTATCAGTGTCCCTGATACACACAAATTTTGTAGAAAACCTTTTTACAATCCTTGTGAGGTTCTATAGCACAGTCGGTTACATGACGTCATTTGCTTGGTTATGTTGAGCAAATGGCAGCTGTGGGTTCCAATCTCAATCAGCGAAAGTCCAATGACTTCATTAGTCATCTTCACTCATAATTCCAGTCGACCCAGCTGTAAATGGGTGCAGATAATCCAGTAAAGATCAATACCAAGAGGTTTGACCAAGGACCAGCTGGTAGAAAGGATCCTTGTGAACCTAAGTTGTTATCCTTGTAAAATCAATACCAAGAGGTTTGGCCAAGGACCAGCTGGTAGAAAGGATCCTTGTGAACCTAAGTTGTTATCCTTGTAAAATCAATGCCAAGAGGTTTGACCAAGGATCAGCTGGTAGAAAGGATCCTTGTGAACCTAAGTTGTTATCCTTGTAAAATCATTACCAAGAGGTTTGGCCAAGGACCAGCCGGTAGAAAGGATCCTTGTGAACCTAAGTTGTTATCCTTGTAAAATATAGTCCACTGAAGAAAATAATAAAACTTTTGAAATATTAATTTAATGTTCATTCCAAGAGATAGTTAACCTTCAAATGATTTCTTTTTCTTCAGGCAATAATGACAGTTTCAGGAGCTATAGCAGAAGCCCGTTTTGATGAGTTGAAGGGCCTAGTGGATGAAAAGGTAACTTATTTTAGACACTAGACATTGCGAAAATTTAAGGGAGTTGATTTGAGTCTTGAATATATGTAAATAATCTTCAGAAGTACTAGAAATGTATGAAAGTTGTATAATTCTTTCAAAAATACAACAATACACTATACATGGTCCTTGGCTTGGTTGATTTGAGTCTTGAATATATGTAAATAGTCTTCAGAAATACTAGAAATGTACCAAAATCAGATAATTCCTTCAAAAATATCTCAAACTAGAAATTTCACTGTCTATTTCTATATATGTGTTTTCTATATATCACAGTGTCTCAAGAAAAGACGAGTCGTCATTTTAACTTTCAAACGTGGATAATTCTAGACACACATGGAATTGAAGGCTCAAATTTTGACAGTGAACTGTGAACACTATTACTGATTGGCTCAGCTATAAAAATTCCTGTTTCTGAGACTAAGATATGATTGGTTAAACGGATAGTGAAGGTGCTCCTTTAAGTTTTTAGGAATAAGGCCTCTGTTCTTACAAGTTTTCTCTGTTTGTTTTAGGCTAGAGGTGAAATCGAGTTGAATTGTAGTTTTATGAGTGATAAAAAAAGAAGGTTATTAGAACTCTGTGAAGAAGATACATTACCTGGGACTAGTTCTATATATCTAGAAAATATTCGAATAATTCATCAGGAAAAAGGTTGGTATTTACTTGTGGCTTAGCTAGGGCTGGGTGATATACCTCATACCAGTATAGGAATTTATATTGTTAGTTAACTCCCTTAGATACAAAACTAAAACTAAATATTTTATGACGTCACTATTTCAAAATTTTGATTCATCTTCAAAGGTTTTCTAAATTTTTTAAGTTTATCAAATTTATAAAATTTAGAAAACCTTATTACCTTGAAATGATGTTTGTAAATTGCAGGCAATGTTGAATTAGAAGCTTCCGTTGTTTTAAGTTACATTCAGAATTCTCAAGAACTTTTACGACATACAGAAAGTACCGAAAAGCCACATTTCAGGGAAGTTTTCTCGAAAGTTTTTGACAATATACAAATCTGCCACTATATGTAAGTTCTATTTAATACCACTATTATAGAGACAGGTGCACCATTTTTGGGGGGTTGATTTGAGTCTTGAATATATGTTAATAGTCTTCAGAAGTACTAGAAATGTACAAAAATCACATAATTCCTTTAAAAATACAACGATACACTATACATGGTCCTTGGCTTGGTTGATTTGAATTGTATAATTCATTTGAAAATATCTCTAACTAGGAATTTTACCTTCTATTTCTATAGATGTCTTTTCAATATTTGGCAGAGTCTCAAGAAAAGATGACTTGTCTTTCAAATACAGATAATTCTGGACACACATGGATTTTAAGGCTATTATTGATTGGCATAGCAAAAAAATTCCCGTTTCTGAGACTAAGGTAGATTGGTCAAACAGATGGCAAACCTGTCCCTTTGAGATGTTTTGCGAACATTTAATTTATATCAGGGACACTGATAACATCAATTTACATCATTCTAATTTTCAATCAGACGTCTGTGGTTCTTGTTAAAGAGATTGTAAACAGGTTTTCTAAATTTTGTATGTGTATCAGAGACACTGATAGCATCAATTTGCATCATTCTAATTTTCAATCAGACGTCTGTGGTTCTTGTTAAAGAGATTGTAAACAGGTTTTCTAAATTTTGTATGTGTATCAGAGACACTGATAGCATCAATTTGCATGATTCTAATTTTCAATCAGATGTCTGTGGTTCTTGCAATTCTACTAAAACTATGCATTTTATGACGTCGCTATTGCAAAAGCTGCTAATGATATATTAAGACCTTTGTGATAGCTAAGGAGTGTTGATTTTGCTGTATTTTTTTTCAGATTTCGTAAGAAGATAGCCAAAAACAGTGAAAACAGTTGGATTATACAGAGACTAGAACATTTCGCTTCTAAACATATGTTAAATCATTGAACACTTTTCTTGACTTGTTCACTCGTGTTCACTCATGTGCAAATTTGTTCAGACTTGTTAAAAGGATAGTTCTGCCATTTTTGGAGGTTGATTTGAGTCTTGAATATATGTAAATAGTCTTCCGAAATACTAGAAATGTACGAAAATCACATAATTCCTTCAAAAATACAAAAATACACTATACATGGTCCTTGGCTTGGTTGATTTGAGTCTTGAATATATGTAAATAGTCTTCAGAAATACTAGAAATGTACGAAAATCACATAATTCCTTCTCTTAAAAAGATAACGTAGATAATTCTAGACACACATGGATTTGAAGGCTCTAATTTCGATGATGAGCTGTGAACACTATTACTGATTGGCTTGGCTAAAAATTCCCGTTTCTGAGACTACAGTATGACTGGTCAAAAAAATGGTGCAGCTGTCCCTTTAAGACTTGTTCAAACTTGTTCAAACTTGTTCAAACTTGTTCAAAGCAACATATTAGCTGTTAGCTGTGAATTTACTCCTGTAAGGGTGTGGGGCAAAAACATTTTTTACTATGTAACCATGGCAATACAAACAGAGACCTTGTTCCCTAACCATATCAATATCAACAGAGATCCTGTTCCTGTAACCATATCAATATCAACAGAGATCCTGTTCCTGTAACTATGGCAATATCATTATCAACAGAGATCCAGTTCCCGTAACTATGGGCAATATCATTATCAACAGAGATCCTGTTCCTGTAACCATGGCAATACCAACATCAAAAGAGATCCTGTTCCCGTAACTATTGCAATATCATTATCAACAGAGATCCTGTTCCTGTAACCATGGCAATACCAACATCAAAAGAGATCCTGTTCCCGTAACTATATCAATATCAAAAGAGATCCTATTCCTGTAACCATGGCAATACCAACATCAAAAGAGATCCTGTTCCCGTAACTATTGCAATATCATTATCAACAGAGATCCTGTTCCTGTAACCATGGCAATACCAATATCAACAGAGATCCTGTTCCTGTAACCATGGCAATATCAATATCAACAGAGATCCTGTTCCTGTAACCATGGCAATATCATTATCAACAGAGATCTTGTTCCTGTAACCATGGCAATATCATTATCAACAGAGATCCTGTTCCCGTAACCTTGGCAATACCATTAACAACAGATATCCTGTTCCTGTAACCATGGCAATATCAATATCAACAGAGATCTTGTTCCTGTAACCATGGCAATACCATTATCAACAGAGATCCTGTTCCTGTAACCATGGCAATACCAACATCAAAAGAGATCCTGTTCCCGTAACTATTGCAATATCATTATCAACAGAGATCTTGTTCCTGTAACCATGGCAATATCATTATCAACAGAGATCTTGTTCCTGTAACCATGGCAATACCATTAACAACATAGATCCTGTTCCTGTAACCATGGCAATACCAATATCAAAAGAGATCCTGTTCCCGTAACTATTGCAATACCAACATCAAAAGAGATCCTGTTCCTGTAACCATGGCAATATCATTATCAACAGAGATCTTGTTCCTGTAACCATGGCAATACCAACATCAGAAGAGATCCTGTTCCCGTAACTATTGAAATACCAACATCAAAAGAGATCCTGTTCCTGTAACCATGGCAATACCAACATCAAAAGAGATCCTGTTCCTGTAACCATGGCAATACCAACATCAAAAGAGATCCTGTTCCTGTAACTATTGCAATATCATTATCAACAGAGATCCTGTTCCTGTAACCATGGCAATACCAACATCAAAAAAGATCCTGTTCCTGTAACCATGGCAATACCAATATCAACAGAGATCCTGTTCCTGTAACCATGGCAATACCAACATCAAAAGAGATCCTGTTCCTGTAACCATGGCAATACCAACATCAAAAGAGATCCTGTTCCTGTAACTATTGCAATATCATTATCAACAGAGATCCTGTTCCCGTAACTATTGCAATATCAATATCAAAAGAGATCCTGTTCCTGTAACTATTGCAATATCAACAGAGATCTTGTTCCTGTAACCATGGCAATACCATTAACAACAGAGATCCTGTTCCTGTAACCATGGCAATACCAACATCAAAAGAGATCTTGTTCCTGTAACCATGGCAATACCATTAACAACATAGATCCTGTTCCTGTAACCATGGCAATATCAATAGAGATCCTGTTTTCGTAACCATGGCAATACCAATATGTCTATGTTTGTCCCTATTGGTTGAATGTTATCAGTGGCAGTGCCAGTCTGCCGAGATTGGGGGTACAAACAGGGAGCAGACTGACTAAATGGGGAGGAGCTCCAGTCGAGGTTGAGATGCAAAAGGCGGCATGGGCGATCTGACGGTTTTCCCGCTAGAAAATTTTGAAAAATAGAATTGATTTGGTGTATTTTAACGCATTTTTTGGATAAACAACGTATAAAAATAATATATTTTAATTTGTAAGAAATGAAGTGTGGGTACAACACATTTTTCTAAGGGGGGAGGGGGGGGGGGGGGGATACCCTCTTTTACCCCCACTGAATGTTAAGACAGGACCATGTCAATTTGCATGTAAATAAAGAGTTTGTTATTATTACCTGAAAATTTATTATAATTATTAACAATATTCGCTGACTTCAAATTATACCGCAATATGAAAATCGGCAATGTCTTCAGAATATTTTTGTGGCGAATCCAAACGTCTTGAAAGTGGAAGGTAAAAGGGTTTGCTAAACATATTATGTGTATCGGGGACACTGATAGCATCAATTTCCATCATTCCAACCACAGAGATCTGATTGAAAATTAGAATGATGTAAATTGATGCTATCAGTGTCCATGATACACATAAATTTAGAAAACCTTTTTACAATTCATTTAATACCTAGTTCAATTAAGATTTGGACGTAGAAAGGTATTGCTGCCTCTTTGTACTAGTAGTTTGCATTGTGTCTTAGCCTCTATCATCCAGTCCAACTTTGTCCACGCACAGCTTCGACAGGACAGGTAAGAGACTAATTGTGTCTTTACCCCTACCCTTGTCCTGTGCCTCTGCTTTCGTAATAACATTTTCTTTCTAACCCTTTGCAATATCAATTTATCTAAAGACATCATTCGGCAATTCTCGGTACTTTCCGTAAAAGCGCTGACGGAACTTTCGAGTGTATCGTTTGGGATCAATAAACCAAGTACTAACAATCCGAACCGCAAAACAAAATCTGAAATCCAAGCAACATACTGGCAAAACATTGGTAGCAGCTAATGAACTTTTCGTTTGGATATTACCTGCGTTGAAATTTCGCAAGCACTGAAGTAGGTTTTTGGATTTTGTGTGCGAAGGTTTCGGATATTATCCGCGTTGAAATTTCGCAAGCACTGAAGTAAAGTCTTTTGGATTTTGTGTGCGAATGTGTTCGGATATTATCCGCGTTGAAATTTCGCAAGCACTGAAGTAAAGTCTTTTGGATTTTGTGTGCGAATGTGTTCGGGATATGATCTGCGTTGAAATTTCGCAAGAACTGAAGTAAAGTCTTTTGGATTTTGTGTGCGAAGGTTTCGGGATATTATCTGCGTTGAAATTTCGCAAGAACTGAAGTAAAGTCTTTTGGATTTTGTGTGCGAGGTCCGGGATATTATCTACGTTTAAATTTCGCAAGAACTGAAGTAAAGTCTTTTGGATTTTGTGTGCAAAGGTTCGGGATATTAACTGCGTTGAAATTTTGCAAGCACTGAAGTAAAGTCTTTTGAATTTTGTGTGCGAAGGTTTCGGGATATTATCAGCAATGAAATTTCGCAAGCACTGAAGAAAAATCTTTTGGATTTTGTGTGTGCGATGGTTCGGGATATTTTCTGCGTTGAAATTTCGCAAGCACTGAAGAAAAATCTTTTGGATTTTGTGTGTGCAATGGTTCGGGATATTATCTGCGATGAAGTTTCGCAAGCACTGAAGAAAAATCTTTTGGATTTTGTGCGCACGAAGGTTCAGGTACGGGATCGGAATCACTATCATTATCATTATTGGAATCAATTTGAACTTCTGGAATTTGTAAATTGTCTGTTAACAGAGTCTCGTCTGTTTCCAGAAGATCGTCTGATTGTTCATTAGTAGTGTCAACAGAATCTTGGCTGTAATCATAAATTTGAATTTTCGGAATATTAGACGCTGATTTCTGAACAGCACGCACGATGTTATTCCTCACTTGGACTTCTACATTGTTCGGTGTCTGGCGATTCCGTTGGTTAACCTCATTGACGTAACTTATTTTCGGTTTCTGGCTAACTTTTGGCGGGACTTTTGGCGCCCGTCTTACTAAACTTTCTTCATCGTCCGACGTTTCAAAACCGTCGTCTGTGCTACTTTGTATATTATGACTACGGGGGATGATGGATCTCGCTCTTCTAGTTTCGTCGGTGTTTTGTTTGTTGGCTTTAATAAGAGCCAGTACTCGTCGTTGTTGATTGCTCTGTCTGTCTTGTTTATCCACCATGCTGTCTTGTTTATCCACCATTCTGTCTTGTAGAATTTTTGTAATTTTTCTTTCACTGAAAAAAAGCAGAACGATCTGAATCACTTTACCGCTAATAAAACAGGGCATGAATTGGAGTTTTACGTCCGTATTTTCTGCAATTTATTTGAATAATGAGGATTGCCATTATGAGAGAGTAAACGTATCAAAGAGTTAAACTCTTCAAAGAAATCAACGATGATGACGACGACGGCGATAGGGGTGATGATAACGGGAATGATGACATTAATAATGATGAAGACAATTTGATGCTGATGATAGACGCTGAATGATAATGATGATGATGATGATGGACGCTGAATGATAATGACACTGAATGATAATGATAATGATGATGATGATGAAAGCTTATTGATGATGATGATGATGATGATGACAACGATGCTGAATAATGATGAATGATGATGGATGTTGAATGATGATGATGATGGACGCTGAATGATAATGACACTGAATGGTAATGATAATGATGATGAAAGCTTATTGATGGTGATGGTGGTGACAAAGACGCTAAATGATGATGACACTGAAAGATAATGATAATGATGATGAAAGCTTATTGATGATGATGATGGTGACAATGACGCTAAATGATGATGACACTGAAAGATAATGATGATGATGATGAAAGCTTATTGATGATGATGATGATGATGACAATGACGCTAAATGATGACGTTGGACGCTGAATTATGCTGATGGACGTTGAATGATTATGATGATGATGGACCGTGAATGGTAATGACGATGATGATTATGGTCGCTGAATGATGATGCTGGTGATGCTGGTGATGGTGGTCATTAGAAAGGAGGAAGACGAAAAGAAGGATAACGACAAAAGCTATGACTAGTTGATTATGATGATGGTGATGATGATGATAATGATAATACTCGCTGAATGATGACGATGATACGGGAGAGTTATATCAAGAGGGGGAAGAGGACTGTTAGGATCACGAAGATGGTGATGATAATGGATGATGATGATGATGTTTATGAAAAGATGGAGGATAAGGAAGAGGATGAATAGGTGGAAAAAGAAGAAAGGAGTACCCTACTGTCAGGAGGACCACGACGACGATGATGATGATGATGATGATGATGAAGAAGATGAAGAAGATGTCACAATGTTGCATACTACCTGTCTCTATTATTACTGTTTGCTTTCAGAGATCTTTTCCCATGAACCACAGCTACCGGTATAGACTTGTCGGAGCTATCCGATACCTTTCTTAAAGGCACGGCTTCTTTCTTATTAGCAGCTGTCATCATCTGCGCTAAACGTGCAGCTGCCATAACAGATGAAGCTGAAGTAGAATATGAAAAGCTGATGTTTTATGGGCTGTAAATGTGAAAGTCTAGGATTACTGGAATTGGGGGTACAAATAGGGAGCGCACTGACTGATTTTGGGTAATGGGAGAGGTTTAGTGGTTGTGTTAGTCTACTGGAACTAGGCCTTACTAGGGGTACATATAAGGGGCAGACCGACTTAATGGGGGGAAAGGCGGAGGGGCATATGTCGGAGTAGAGATTCTAGGAGGCGCTATAAAAGAGTCTGAAAATCTTCTCGAATTTGTGTCAAAAGAAAGATTTTTTAAGTGTTTATATAGCCTTAATCGACATTAAAATCCCCGTCGTTTCGTTTCTTTCTTTCCTTTGAGACGAATTATGGGATAGTGAAAACCAAAGACGTTGTCATGTCGCTAAAATGTAGCTATACGCTGTATGATGTGGATTTACAATATTTTCACCATTCTAATTTTCAGTCAAGACGTCTGTGATTCCTGCAATTCCACTAAAACTAAACGTTTTATGACGTCACTAATCGCAAAATATGCTTTATCAATTGAGGCCCCTTAGTGACGTCATGAAAATTAGTAGAAAATTTAGTAAAATTGCAGGAACCACAGACGTCTGATTGAAAATTGGAATGGTACAAACTAATTTCGAATATTAATGACCATTATGCCGTATATTTCGGTATTATCGACATCACGTTTATTTGAGATGGTAGTTAATTCAGATCAGGTTCCCATTGGGTAGTTTTGGAATGAACTTTTTCTGGCATCAACTCAAAATAATCCTAGAACAATTTTAGAATAGAAATTTATTTAAAAATTAAATTAAGGGGAACAAACCTGCATTGTTGAGTCTTTTTTTATCATCGGTTTTATTTTCCGCTTTCTTGACAAAACCGGATTGTAAATCTCGTTTAGCTTCAAAAATAAAAAAAGATCATATTATGGTGAGAGGAGACGAATGGTTTTTGTCGCGGACTTTTGTCACCGATTAAGTATAATCTCAAGTGTGCCTGTCCTTCCACGACAAGATTATCGCAGGATTTTGAACACCAAACCAGTGGCTCCCCCCGCCCCCTGCCTCCAGAGGCTGGCCCGGGTTTGCCAACTCCCCTTTCACATTTTGACACCAAACTAGTGGCTTTCTGCAAGGGGGCCAGGAAGGGCCATGTCCCCCCGCGTCCAGAGGCTGGCCCGGATTTGTTATCATTTTACATAGTGAAGAAATGACAAAAACAGTTCGTGTGCCCGAATCTTTAGATTTACTGCGATTTTTTTTTATTAAACCAGGTGTTGAACGTTGAGATGTCAAAAGTTGTCGAAAGGCCGAGCAAGTCTGGGCTTGTGGGTATAAAAATTATCAAGAAAACAGTTTGGGTGACACGGGATGAAGAAACAACCCAAATTTAAGTCCCACTCACCATCTGCCATTGCATAAACTTTTCTTCTTCCCTCATTTCGCTCCTAAAATACATTAATATCCATTCAAAATTCCAGTTGACCCAGCTGAAAATGGGTACAGATAATCTGGTCAAGGTCAAAGCCAAGAGGTTTGACCAAGGACCAGCTGGTAGAAAGGATCCTTGTGAACCTAAGTTGTTATCCTTGTAAAATCATTACCAAGAGGTTTGGCCAAGGACCAGCTGGTAGAAAGGATCCTTGTGAACCTAAGTTGTTATCCTTGTAAAATCAATACCAAGAGGTTTGGTCAAGGATCAGCTGGTAGAAAGGATCCTTGTGAACCTAAGTTGTTATCCTTGTAAAATCAATACCAAGAGGTTTGACCAAGGACCAGCTGGTAGAAAGGATCCTTTCTGGACCTAAGTTGTTATCCTTGTAAAATCATTACCAAGAGGTTTGATCAAGGACCAGCTGGTAGAAAGGATCCTTAGTGAACCTAAGTTTTTATCCTTGTAAAATCATTACCAAGAGGTTTGACCAAGGATCAGCTGGTAGAAAGGATCCTTGTGAACCTAAGTTGTTATCCTTGTAAAATCAATACCAAGAGGTTTGACCAAAGACCAGCTGGTAGAAAGGATCTTAGTGAACCTAAGTTTTTATCCTTGTAAAATCAATACCAAGAAGTTTGACCAAAGACCAGCTGGTAGAAAGGATCTTAGTGAACCTAAGTTTTTATCCTTGTAAAATCAATACCAAGAGGTTTGGTCAAGGACCAGCTGGTAGAAAGGATCCTTGTGAACCTAAGTTGTTATCCTTGTAAAATCATTACCAAGAGGTTTGACCAAGGATCAGCTGGTAGAAAGGATCCTCGTGAACCTAAGTTATTATCCTTGTAAAATCAATACCAAGAGGTTTGACCAAGGATCAGCTGGTAGAAAGGATCCTCGTGAACCTAAGTTGTTATCCTTGTAAAATCAATACCAAGAGGTTTGGTCAAGGACCAGCTGGTAGAAAGGATCCTTGTAAACCTAAGTTATTATCCTTGTAAAATCAATACCAAGAGGTTTGGTCAAGGATCAGCTGGTAGAAAAGATCTTCATGAACCTATATAAGTTGTTATAAGTGCCTATTAACATAATTGCAGGAACCACAGAAGTCTGATTAAAAATTGTAATAATTCGAATCAATGCTATCAATACACATGTAAAGTTAGAAAACGTCTTTACAATCTCTTGAATACTTACATATTCTAGCTGCATCCTTAGTTCAGCGTTAGTATCTGTTAATGATCTTCCCACAGAGATCAGGTAATAGATCGTCATACTGAAAACAGATAATAATATTAGTTGGCATCCTTACAAGGTACTGTCAAACATGGCGACAAACTAAAACTTAAGATATTGCAGAAATTGGTCCATTACACCAAAATGATACGGTCCCGTCTAAAATTCTAACCGTGGTTATCTGTAAGTAAAGATGTGTCTGGCAGTACCTCTTACAGAGCCAATGCCCCCCTGTGAAAATCCACACCAAAATCTCGACAATAGTTACTCACCATAGCAACATAAAGACAGGTAAAATAACACCAGGGGACGCTGCATAGTCTATGACGTCATTGATAGTGTCTGGTAATTCTGTTTCCATGGTTTCTGTTAAAATATGGTACATTTTCTGTTTTCCACTGAAACACAAATAGTTACATCCAAGATGACGACATCGCAAGCAAGCGCAACATTGTAAAAAGTAATACAGTGAAAACTTGGACGAAATACTAGAGTTTCATCTTCCGTGGACATTGTCTTCTTACAATACAAAACCCAAGTACTAACGATGCGATCCGCAGAACGGTTGTAATAAGTCCACGGGCCCTCATCCACAAAAAACAAAATCAAAAATAAACTTGACAAAATCATCAAAAAGGTTAACAACTTATGCTAGGGCCCAAGGGCAATATTAAGTCCTCATTTCAGAAAATGGGGCCCAATTTCAGCTTATGACGACCCTAATGCCTGAACATTACGAAGACCTTTACTGTACATGGCGACATAGTAACGATGTCTTAAATCTTCCGACTACTCTGACAGATCATTAACAGGCACTACATTGGCTTACAGGGGGGTCTCAGAATGCAGGAGAGCACAATGTGTTAAAAAAAATTCCAAGGGGATCCAATCCAATTAAGTCCACGGGCCCCCGAAGTTGAGCCACTAAGAATGTTTCAGTTCAGGGGGATTCGAACCCACGGCGCTTTGTTGTTCCTTCTTTTCTATTTACTTGAACGGTTTGGATGCTAGAAATGACCAGCTGGTAGAGAGGATCCTCGTGAACCTAAGTTGTTATCCTTGTAAAATCAATACCAAGAGGTTTGACCTTGGACCCAGCCCCGTAGCTATAGAGGAACAAGGGGAAAAATGACTACTAAACATTACACCCACTTGCCCCTCCGAACAATCAAGTCTGGCTACGGGTCTGTCGTAGAGGGGATCCTCATGAACCCAAGTTGTTATCTTTTCAAGGACCAACTGGTATAAAGGATTACTTTCTATTTACCTGAATGGTCCACAACCAGGCGAAGGTTCAATACCAACTAATGAAAACAGTGGTGGCAACATGCACAGAAATAACATAACGAGCGTGAGAGCATAGTAGAAGTTGTTAGATCGTGAAGCACGGAAGATGTTCTGCTGGGGAACGTTACAGACCAGTACTGTCCAACATCGAACGTACACCATTAATAATAACTTCATTAGGTTTAGTATGGGTAAACCAGGAGCGAAAAATGTTCCGATCCTGAAAAATACAAAAATTATGAAATGAATGGAGTTTTACGTCCTATTTTTCTGCACCATATGGGCTAATGAAGACGAGCAACATTATACAGTGTGCGATGATGGAAATTTCGAGAGGACAATAACAAACTTCATTAGGTTTAACATGGGTACACCAGAAGCAACAAAAAGTTTCGATCCTAATTGTTTGTACCTAATGAAGACGGACAATGTCATGCAGTGTACAATGAGGGAAATTTTATCAGGACAGCGATTAGACGCAGAAAACTTGGAATTTGTGCCAAAGTGCCAAAGTGCCAAATTTAGAACTTACCAGACCATGCCCTGGTTGTTGATTAGATGGAGTAGATTTTCAGCCGTTTTAAAATCGGGGTATTCAGGCTGAAATCAAAACACAGTGTTAGATTATAGAGGGGTTCGGGTTAGGGTATTAGTGGGTGAAATAAAACACAGTGTTAGATTATAGAGGGGTTCGGGTTAGGGTATTAGTGGCTGAAATCAAAACACAGTGTTAGATTATAGAGGGGTTCGGGTTAGGGTATTAGTGGGTGAAATCAAAACACAGTGTTAGATTATAGAGGGGTTTGGGTTAGGGTATTAGTGGCTGAAATCAAAACATAGTGTTAGATTATAGAGGGGTTCGGGTTAGGGTATTAGTGGCTGAAATCAAAACACATTGTTAGATTATAGAGGGGTTCGGGTTAGGGTATTAGTGGCTGAAATCAAAACACAGTGTTAGATTATAGAGGGGTTCGGGTTAGGGTATTAGTGGCTGAAATCAAAACAACGTGACAGGTTATAGAGGGGTTTGGGTTAGGGTATTAGTGGCTGAAATCAAAACACATTGTTAGATTATAGAGGGGTTCGGGTTAGGGTATTAGTGGCTGAAATCAAAACACAGTGTTAGATTATAGAGGGGTTCGGGTTAGGGTATTAGTGGGTGAAATCAAAACACAGTGTTAGATTATAGAGGGGTTTGGGTTAGGGTATTAGTGGCTGAAATCAAAACATAGTGTTAGATTATAGAGGGGTTCGGGTTAGGGTATTAGTGGCTGAAATCAAAACACATTGTTAGATTATAGAGGGGTTCGGGTTAGGGTATTAGTGGCTGAAATCAAAACACAGTGTTAGATTATAGAGGGGTTCGGGTTAGGGTATTAGTGGCTGAAATCAAAACAACGTGACAGGTTATAGAGGGGTTTGGGTTAGGGTATTAGTGGGTGAAAGCCGACATCGGGCCTACTCTTGGAAGCACTGGCACAGGCATCAGAATTTTCTTTACCTTGATGAGGATCCGACCTGTTATATTATAGAGGGTTTGGTGGATGGGTGAAAACCAACACCGGGACGACTTTCACAAGCACTGGCACAGGCATTAGGATTTTACTTAAGGATTCAAAAACACAGCACTTAATCGCCTAGAAGACGATTTCTATTTCTATAGATGTCTTTACTATATATGGCAGTGTCTCAAGAAAAGACGAGTCGTCATTTTAACTTTCAAATGGGGATAATTCTGGACACACATGGATTTGAAGGCTTAAATTTCGTTGAAGAGCTGTGAACACTATTACTGATTAGCTTAGCTAAAAAATTCCTGTTTCTGTTAGAATGGACATAAAAAGTCTCAAACTTGGTCAATAAGAGTATATATTCATCAGTTGGACTTACCAGGTGTCATGACTAAAGAATAGAATCTCTATATAACACGATATATCTATTAAACTAAGTAATAATTGAATAACGCTTCTAAGCGCGTTTCAAATTACTTAGTTTTATAGATTTTATAGATTATAGAGGGATTCTGTTGTATAGTTTTAACAACCAGGTAAGACCAACTGATGAACAAAGACTCATTTTAACCAAGTTTTAAAAATTTCAAATTTTTGGTCATCCTAAGGGGTAGTATACCTTTAAAAGTAAAGACAGTAAAAGCTAAAACTTACAAAAGTTTTCTCCATATCCCAACAGCATAGGCTGTTACAGTAGCGAATAAAAACGCCTCTTATAACATCTATCACAATCACCTGCCCCAAAACAAACACTATATCCATTACTGTTAACTTAAATATTTCCTGTAATACAGAAAAAATACATCTGATGAAAACTGGCAACGCCATGCAGTGTGCAATGGGGGAAATTTTCCTAAGACATATCCACCCTATCCATTACTGTTAGCTTAAATATTTCCTAAAATGAAAAAAATAAGTGGAAATGAATGGAGTTTTACGTCCTACTCTACGCACCTTTATTAGGCTAATGAAGACGGACAACGCCATGCAGTGTGCAATGAGGGAAATTTTGTCAGGACAGCGGCATTAGCCTACTATTTCGTCCCATCCGAACGACATGACATTGTCACCATTCGTTGTACGTAACTAAACATGTGACGTCATGTCAAGATCCCAACGCACTAACCGACTGTGCTACAACCCATCCTAATATATTTGTGAGATCGACATTTTGATAAAAAGAAAAAAGAAAAATTTGGTCCCTTTAAAGTAACAAAATTTTTCTAACCACGAACCTGCCCTGTCATGTGCCTGACGACGATGGGGGAAACATGTCGAAACGTTGCATAAAACTTTAACCAGTGATTGTTGTTCCATAAAGCTGTGTCTATATATTTAATTGATTTGGTGCATGCTGCCATATATTTTGACCGCAAATCATATTTTGAAATTTCTTATAAATTTATCACCTCTGTTGTGTTCGTTTATCGATATACTTACGGTACGAATATTTAGATGGAATGGCGGACGAGTTTAAGCACTTACCTGCCCTATCATGGTTTCCCAACACAGGGAGTTTAGTGATGCATTGTTTGGTAGAAGACAGTCGTCTAGATCAATAAGTGTTGGAGAAACGGTCGACGTCATCCAAAGCGTTCCGTTACCTCCATCTGTTTCGTTAATGGAATAACCCGTTAAGTTCATCTCTAATGACGTTTCTGTTACCGGAAGTGACGTATAGGAAGACGATGGTTCACAAGCCGTATTGTTCAATAAAGAACTAGCAAATTTTTTCTGAAAAAAAGAAAAATAGATTTTTTTAAACATAAAAGGTTATGCAAAAGAGCGTAAAAGCCAGACTGGTGGCTAAAGGTGGCTATTGCAGTCAAGGTATAAGACGAAGTTGGTAATAGCTTGACATTGTGAAGATGTGATACAAGAAAGGTGGCTATTGCAGTCAAGGTATTGGACGAAGTTCGCTGTAGTTTGACATTGTGAAGATACAAGAAATGTGCCTTATGCAGTCAAGGTATAAGACGAAGTTCGTAATAGTGTACAATCTAATCCAACCGCTGCTTTTACAAACTTACTAAAAAAAGTGACTAATAATGTCAAGGTATTAGACGTTATAATAGCCTTTACATTGTGAAGATCAAGTATTCATCGAGAAATCGATAAACTGAAGGAGTCGATTTCTATCCATTTCAAGGACACGTTGGTCTATTTAAAACATCATTATATTGTATTGTATATACTTGCCACGTTAAAATTATTGGTTAAAGAGATACTACCTCTTAGAATGGACATAATATTTCAATCTCAAACTTGGTCAATAAGAGTATATATTCATCAGT